TAGCAAGTGGTCTGGCTGGTGAAATGCTCTCCATCCCTGCTGAGACTCCCTCCCCCTAAATGAACCGAAACAAAGTGGCTACCTGCTAAAGTAAAAGAGTTCAATAGGATCCAGAGTTTCCTAACATAGTAGAAAAATGTCTGAGGTGTAATAAAAAAATCACCTGTCATACCAAGAACCAGTAAAGTCACAACTAGAACAAGAAAAGATAATGAACTGACCCGAGCACCAGTTGAATCAGATGGTGGAATAATCTGACAAGGATTTTAAAGCAGCTGTCATACAAATGCTTCAGCAATCAGTTACACATTCTCTTGAAACAAATGAAAAAATAAGAAAGCTCAGCAAGGAAATGGAAGTTATAAAAAGAACTAAGAGGGAATTATAAAAATGAAAAATAGCAAAAACCTCACTGGATGGTTTTGGAAGTAGAGTGGAGATGACAGAGGATAGAGCCAGTGAGTTTACCAGATCAGTAGAATGATTTGTGAACAGTCCAGGTCAATAGAATTTACCCAGTCTGAACAACAGAGAGAGAGAACCCGCAATAGGGTAAAACCAAAGAAATCCACACCAAGACACCTTAAAATTAATGATCTGAAAACTAAAAAAGAAAAAGATCTTGAAAGATGCTAAACAATGTACTGACATTAATTTGACATCAGATTTCTCATCTGAAATCATGGAGGCCCAGGGGGAGTGGCACACATTTTTCAAGTGTTGAAAGAAATAATAATTGTCAACCATGAATTTTATACCTGGCGAAACTATCCTTGAAGAATGAGGATTAAGTAAAGACGTTATCAGATGAAAGAAAAGTAAAAGAATTTTTTGCTAGTAGATCTGCCCTTAAAGATCAGCTAAAAGAAGTTCTTCAAACCTAATGAAATGATAAAACAAAGATTCTTGGAGCCCCTGGAACGAAGAAAGAATGATGGAAAGAGCAGAAATATGGGTACATACAGTAGATGATCATTTTCCTCATGAGTTTTATAAGTTGTATTTGATGATTGAAACAAAAATTATAACACCGTGTGATACTTAAGACAATGATATTTGATTTAAAAGAGGAAAAGTTAAAGAGACCTGGATGGAAGTGATATTTCCACACTTCACTTGAAGTGGTAAAATGTTGATATTAGTAGACTGTGATAAGTCGTGTATGTATATTGTAATACCCAGAACAACCACTACAAAAACTATACAAAGAGATATACTCAGAAAAACAAGATAAATTAAGGTGGAATCCTACAAATGTTTAAGTAACCTGCAGGAAATCAAGAAAAGAGTAACAGGAATGAGAACCAGAGGAAACGAGTGGAATAAAAGAGCAGATTTAAGGGCTAATGTATCAGTAATTACTTCAAATGTAAATATTCTAAATATAGCAATCAAATAATAGAGATTGGCAGAGTAGATAAAAAAACATGACCCAAGTACATATGTTTACATGAAGCTCACTTCAAATTCAGTGATATACGTAGGTTGAGTAAAATGATAGAAAAATATATACCTTGCCAACAGTAATTCAAAAAGCAGGATTGCCTATATTAATACCAGATTAAGTAGACTTCAGAGCAAAGAAAATTACTAGAGACAGAGAGTGGCACTTCATGATGATAAAAGGATCTATGCATACTAAATGAGTATTCACCAAATATCAGAGGCCCAAAGTAAATCAAGCAAAAACTGACATGGTTGAATGGAGAAATTAAAAAAAAAATCCACAGTTGGGGACTTTGAAACCCCCTCAGCAACTGCTAGAACTACTAGACTGAAAATCGCAAGGATGTAGAAAAACTGAACAACACAGTTAATCAGTAGGATCTAATCGCCATATCTAGAATATACCACCATACCACCTAGCAACAGCAGAATGCTCATGTTTTTTGAGTGCCTATGGAACATTCACCGAGATAGACCATGTCCTAGGCTGTAGAACAAACCTCAGCAGATTTACAAGAATTGAAATCATACAGAGTGTGTTCTCTGACCATAATGGAGTCAAACTAGAAATCAATAATAGAAACAAAAGGAAAATCTCTAAATATGTGGAAATTAAACAACACATTCCCAAAAAAGCCATGGGTCAAAGAGGAAATCTCAAAGGAAATGAAAACATACATGCAACTGAATGATAATAAAAATAAAACATATGTGAGATGCAGCTCAGTCAGTGCTCAGAGGGAAATTTACAATAATAAATGCTTGTATTAGAAATGAGGAAAGATCTCAGATCAGAAATCAATGAAAATCTAAATAAATTTAAATAGAAATCTAAATACATGTTCATGGATTAGAAGACTCAATATAGTAAGATATCAGTTTTCCCGAAATTGATTGGTAGGTGTAATACAATTTCTGTTGAAATCCCGGTAAGGTTTTTTGTAGAAATACACAAGCTTATTCTAATATTTATAAAGAAAGTCACAGGCCCTAAAATAGCTTAAACAGTGTTGAGGAAGAAGAATAAAATGGGAGGAATCGTACACCCTGATATTGTATCTTACTGTATCGCCACAGTAATCAAGACAGTAGTATTGGTGGAGGAGTGGACACATAGATCAATAGAACAGAATAGAGATTCCAGAAAAGAACACACAAAGTTGCTTAACTGATTTTTTACAAAGGTGCCAAAGCAGTTCATTGGAGGAGGACAGCCTTTCCAACAAATGGTGCTGGGGCAATTAGACATCCATAGGGGAAAAAACCAAAAAAACACCACCACTACCACCAAACTGCACATACCAAAAGTGCTCACATACACACACACACACACAAAAACGTTGTCTTAAACTTCACGCGTTACATAAAAATTAACTCAAAATGGATCATGAGCTTAAATCTAAAGTGTAAAACTATAAAACTTTTAGGAAAAAAACAGTTTTTTAAAGAAAAATATGGCATCCCTCCTCTCATATGTCTTTGTCCCTTTATCTTTTTAGCCCTTCAGTGTTCAGTTTAGACATCATACCTCTGGGAAGTTCTCACTGGTCCTGCAAAGCTGGCTGGGTTGGTCGTCTATCTCATGGGCTCCAGTAACACCATGATGGGCATTTGTCTTCTCTGCTTGCCTAGCATCTGAGCCTTTTCATGTTTGGGGAATTCCCTGTAAAATGGGCTTTCTTTGGCTCAGGGGCTCACTGCCTGCTACAGAAGCTAAGGAGGACAGATACTGCTTCCTGTACCATGCTCTGGCAACCCGCGTATAAAAATGTCATCTAGGATAGTCATTCTGTTCAGCCTGAGACTTTGAGTGTGGAGTGAGTGATGGATAGGAACTGGGACATGGAGAACTCATTTTTCTACCTGTGGCAGCAATATCTGCTTTTCAGGAGTGGTGCAGTTGATGGTATCCAGAGAGTGGTGGTGTCTGTAGTAGATGGCCTCTGGGGGATTGACTGGTGGTCCTGCTGCCAGCCTTCCTTCATTCCTGCCTTTCTAAAGATTCTATGAGCTGGGAGATACGTTCAATAAATTCCTTTTCTGTTTAGCTAGAGTTGGTTTCTCTTGCTTGCAACAGAATCTTGATTGAGCCAATCACCCTATCTTAGTAGGGTTGCACATTTGCCTGCTTGCTTGCCATTTCCTCGGACCAGATCACAGATAGGGGCTCTGTCTTATTCATCATTGTACATTCAACAAATATCATGATTGAGGTATATTAACTTCTCAGTAAATAATAAATGAAATGTGCAGGTCTTAACTTTGTTTCTCCATTGGCATGATATTTAGTGGTAATTATTCTGTGACTTTGGCATTTGGTAGACTTTTATCTTTAGTTTTCAATGGTATTTGCAAGATTTGAATGTTTTGTTGGCCTTGGATAGTTTCTTGGGAACTTGGAAGAGAGTTTGTAGGCACAGTTATCCTGAACAATATTTTTACTTCACTCCTTTTTTTTTTCTTAATGTAAGTACTAAGTGAGATGGATAGGGGAACCCCTTTTATCAGGACAAAAAAATAAAAGACTTTGTGATCAACTGACGTAGTATTCAAGCTGGTAGATTTGATGTAATTTTCCTTCACTGTGAACAGCATTATATTAGTACACTGATGTATATTGTACACTGATATGTATACGTAAAGCCTACCCATCTCCGTCTCCTCGTTTGTTGTTCCTGTTGTTAATTCCATCATATTTCTGTCACGTAGGCTCAAAATCTTAGTTATCTTGAATGACTTCCTCCGTTTTGCCCCTCTAATAAGGAATGCCATTGATTGTACCTCTTTAGTACCCTTCCCCTTTACTACACTAATATTATAAGCCAAGTCACTATGACCTTCTTGTATAACCTCCTCACAGGGTTTCACTTTTACTGAAATCAAGCTTATCTTACACAGAGCTTCTAGATGGATCTTTCTGATGATACCTCAAAAAGCTTGATATTATCTTGTGATTCCAACTCTAAGTTGATCTGCAGTATTTCTTCAGTTATCCATTCACACTACACTTACCATGGTTTTACCACTCACATAATGAGTGGTGTTCTTTTTTGGAAGAATCTGTTTCTTACATACATGCTGCTTGTCCCCTCAGCAGTTTCAATATGTTCAAATTCTACCATTCAGTTGACTCAGAATGTGCTCCAGGATGCATTCCCTTACCCACCGTCCCTTTCACGTGAGTGCTGCCCCCCTTTCCTAGGAGCCTGTCTTATCTATCCCTTGGCATTATATATTATTGTACTAATATTATTTGAGGCAGTTGGATGGATTTGAGTATGAAAGCATCAGTGGTCCTCCCTATAGAGCTGTCAGAGTTAATGAATCATAGGTTTATTTCATTGGGTTTTGGAAAACTCAAAGCACTATCAAAACCCAAATCACCATCAAAACACTGTAATGCTATAAAATTAATTTTCTGCATCCTGCAGATACCAGTAGGGGTATTTATGGTTATGAAACACATGATTTCTTCTTAAAAATGATGCCTTGGTGTTTTGTTTCCTTGCTTTGAGGATTTTATTCAAATTATCATTTGTTTTTTACTTTCACAGTCGATGCTCCGAGGGAGAGGAGGTTGCTATAAACATACATTCTATGGCATCGAAAGCCATCGTTGCATGGAAACTACTCCGAGCTTGGCATGTGCAAATAAATGTGTCTTCTGTTGGCGGTAAGTAAAAATGAATGGCTATGGTGACTAAATATGTAATGATCTGTAATAATCAATTTCTGCCCAACACTGCACTCATTTTTACCTAAAGCTCTGCTATGTCTATAATTAATCCCCTTTTCCATTATATTTGTGCATTTGGTTGTTTTTTCTTGACCAGTTTTATCAGAAGTTCGCCAATTTTTTAAGTCTTTTTGAAGATCTAGATTTTAGCTTTGTGAATCCTCTCCATTATATCTTTGTTTTCTTGTTCAATAGTTTACTACTGTTTTTCCCCCTGTTCTTTTTCTAACTTAAATTAGACTATTAGTCCATTAATATTCAGTCTTCTGTAAGTCTTTAATTATAAATTTCCCTCTAAGTAGTTTCTCAGCTACATTCCATAGATTTTGATTAATTATTTTTCAATTGTAAATATTTCTAAATTTTTGCTATGACTTTTTTGTAACTCATGGATGAAAGAAATATTTTAAAAATTACACATAAATTAGATTTTTGGGATTGTATTTTTGTTATTAAATTTCAACCGAATTGTATTATTGTTATAGTACATGGTTTCTAATACAAACTATTTAAAATTTATTGAGAAGTGCTGTATGCCTAGTATATGGTCAAGTTTTAAAAATCTATCATAGAGCCAGCCCCGATGGTCTAGTGCTTAAAGTTCACCGCTTTGGCAGCCCGCGTTTGGTTCCTGGCCGTGGAACCACACCACTCATCTGTCAGTTGCCATGCTGTGGTGGTGGCTCACATAGAACTAGAATGATTTACAACTAGAATATATAACTGTGCACTGGGGCTTTGGGGAGGGGGAAAAAAAAATCTATCATATACTCTTGAGAAGAGTGTACTTCTTAATTGTTGGGTAATAAAACAGCAGTAAAACCTATATTACTGATTATTTGTTTTATCATTATTTAGTAGTTCTCTTTATGCATAATAATGCTTTTTGCCTTAAAGTTTGTTTACTTATATTAATATAACTATACTAGATTTCTTTTGGTTACTAATACTTTCCAGGTCTTTCTTTTTCCTTCCTTCCTTTATGTAACTTCAAACTTTATGTGTCCTTGTATTTTAGGTGAGTTGCTTATAAACAAGTGTTTGGCTGGATCAGTTTTTTAAAAGCAACTTTATTTACATACAATGAAGTACACCTATTTAAAATGTACAATTCCATGAGTTTTGGTAAATATGTACACCTGTGTGACTACAACCACGATCAAGATGAAGAACATTTTAGTTACCCCCGAGTTCCCTTGTGCCCCGCTCCCAGTCAGTTTCTCTTTTCTCACCCCAGCCCCAGGCAAACTGATTTGCCTTTTGACAATATTTATTAGTTTGCTTTTTCTATAGACTTGCATAAAAATCGAATCATTCAGTATGCATTTTTGTGTCTGGTTTCTTTTGCTCAGTAAAATATTTTTGAGATTTATCCATGATGTTATGTATATGAGTAGTTTGTTCCTTTTTATTGCTGAAGAATAGTCAGTTGTATGGTTTATACCACAGTTTATCTGTTCACCTCTAGGTAAATATTTGAGTTGTTATTTTGACTTGGTAAAACTGCTGTGAACATTACTGCACAAGTCTTTTTTAGACAAATATTTTCACGTGTGTATGGAATTGCTAGATTTTTAAAAATCCATTTGGACAATCTGCCTTTTAACTGATGAGTTGAGTTGGTCTTATTTATAGTGATTGTTGATACTGATAAATATTGACAAATTGATAAATATTTATTTTTATTCTCTTATTTTGTGCCTTCTGTTTACCTTGCTTTTCTATACTTTTTTCTTTATCTTTTTTCTAACCAAGACACTTTTATGGTAAGGTATCAGTTTGAATGTTACATTGTAGGAGGCATTTCAGGTTTTCTTGCTGGACATACAAGCCCCGAGAGTTATTTTCAAGTTGGCTACAGTCCATCATATGTAGAATTGAATCTTTTAAGTAAGTTGAGAAATGCCCAAATTGCAGAAATCTTTTCTTTCGTGCTTGCTACTAATCCATTTTTCTCTTTCACTGACAACTGCTTACTCTTCAACTCCTCAGTTCCCTACAGGCTGACTCATGTCTCCATTGCAGCTCATTTTCTTGTGATCACTAATGACTTCCTTACCATCAAATCTAATAGAGGTGATTTAATTCTCATCTTAATTGAACTCTAGCAAAGCTAGAAAAGAAAGACTTCTTCTACTGGATTCAGATATACCAGTCTCTTCTAGGTTTTTCCCTCAGCCCTTTGCCAGTTTCTTTTTAATTTCTCATGTTAGCTCTTGTTTGGCTTGTTCGTTGCCTGATGAATTCTCTCTGATTCTGTCCTTAGCTTTCTTTTATTACTCTACATTGTAATGGTAGGAGTAGTAAGCCATCTCCATGGCTTCATTGAATACTTGCGGTTTGACACCTTTAAATTCTTTGTCTCTAGCCCCAGTCTCCCTTCTGAGTTTCCATTCTCTGTTTAGGGCTTGCCTGTTGGATATATTCTCTCAGATGATCCACAGGCGTTTCAAGCCCAGTTTGTCCACAATGGAATTTATTATGCTCTCTGTTAACCTCTTCTTCCTATTTTGGTAATGACACCATTAGCTATCCTTCAGTGTCTTAGACTGAAAATCTCTTCTCTCTTTCTCTAACTCACTTTGTTGTCCATTTGCCTACCTAATTCCATTGACTGTGTTTTAGATTCTCATTATTTCACCCTTTAACAACTGAAATGAGTTAATACTTTCCAGTCTATGTCATCCCTTAATTTATCTTTCATATTGATGCAAGAGCTATAATTCTGTTTTAAAAAATATTTTTTTATTTCATTGATCATAAAAATAATCCACGCTGGGGCCGGCCCCGTGGCGTAGTGGTTAAGTGCGGGTGCTCTGCTGCTGGCGACCGGGGTTCGGATCCTGGGCACGCACCAAGGCACCGCTTGTCAAGCCATACTGTGGCAGCGTCCCATATAAAGTGGAGGAAGATGGGCACAGATGTGAGCCCAGGGCCAGTCTTCCTCAGCAAAAAAAGAGGAGGATTGGCCTGGATGTTAGCTCAGGGTTGATCTTTCTCACCAAAAAAAAAAAAAAGAATCCATACTTATTGTAGAAAATTTTGGAAAATACCAAAAAGTGTAAAGAAAAGCAACTATCTATAATTCTAGCATCCAGACAAATCATTGTTAAATGCTTTGAAGTATTTGCTTTCTGTTTTTTTCTTTCTTTTTTTAAACATGGTTGAAATAATTCTCTACTCTCTGTTTTATATCTTGTTTTTATTTTTTTTTAGTATAAGACTCTTGCTCTACCATTAAAATCTTGTAGGCATAAATGTTTTGTTTTGAAATAATTTTAGATTTATGGAAGAGTTACAAAGATACTAGAGTTCCTGTGTATCTTTCATCCAACTTTCTCTAATGTTAGGACCTTACTTAACTTTGGAACAATTATCAAAACCAAGAAATTAACATTGATGCAATTCTATTAATTAAACTGGAAACTATTAGAGTTTCATAGATTTTTTCACTACTGTCCTTTTTCTTTCAAGATCCAATTCAGGATCCCACATGGCATTTAGCTGTCATGTCTCTTTAGTTTTCTCCCGTCTGCCACAGTTCTTTAGTCTTTCCTTGTCTTTTATGACTTTGACACTTTTGAAGAGTACTAGTCAGATATTTTGTAAAATATCCCTCAGTTTGGTTTTGTTTATTGTTTTCTCATGGTTAGAGTGAAGTTATGCATTTTGGAAACAATACCATAGAAGTGATGTGACCCTCAGCATGTCATATTAGGGAGTACATGGTATCAATATGTCTTATTACTGGTGATGTTAACCTTCATTATTTGATTAAAATAGTGTCTGCCAGGTTTTCAAATGTAAAATTACACCATAAAAATACTATTTCCCCTTGTAATTAATAAATATTTGGGGGGAGATACTTTGAGGCTATGCAAATATGCTGTTTCTCCTTAAACTTTTGCCCATTAAATTTTTCATTCATTGGTGGCTCTTACCTGTATCACTTATTACTTTGGTGTTACAATGGTTATTTTTTCTTTTCTTTTTTTTTCTACATTTAATAATTGAAATTCTTTGTAAGGAAGAGTCACTTCTCCCTCATTTATTTATTTATTAAATTATTTGTATTAATTTGGACTCAAGGATATTTATTCCGTTGGTTATAATCCAATACTATTATTATTCATTTTATTGCTCATATTTTTCCAGCTTTGACTATTGGGAACTCTTTTGGATTGGCTTCTGTATCTTTTCTTTCTTTCTTTTTAAAACACTTCTGTATTTTCTGACTCCAGAGAGGGTCCAGGCTCATGCTCTGTTTTTCCTGCCCAACCCTAGAATCAACCACTTCTCTAAGGAACCTTAATTCCTTTTACTGAAGAGTGGTATTTAGAATCCAAAATTTGTATGCTCATTTCAATTGGAGTGTTTGTGTTTCTAGGCCCTCTCAGCAGATAAAACTAGGAGATACATGTATGTGTCTTGACCTCTGTATATTAGAATACAAAACCCCCAAACCATGAGTTTTTACTGACACTTCCAACTCTAGTCAGCACCATAGAACTCATTCTAGCATTCCCTTTTTGCTTGTTTGTGACTTTTTTCTCTGACAGTGAGAAACCTGGCCTGGCTCTCATTATCTACAACATATTCACTTCAACCTTAGTATATGCATGTGAAGGACTTTAAGAAATTGTTAACTGACACCTTTGTGAAAAACAATTTTATCTTTTCTTATGATGTCTTTGACTAGCTTTGGTATCAGGTTAATGCTGATCTCATAGAATGAGTTAAGAAGTGTTCCCTCCTCTTATTTTCTGGAAGAGTTTGAGAAGGATTAGTGTTAATTCTTTAAATGATTAGTGGAATTCACCAGTGAAACTGTTCCTGGGCTTTTCTCTGCAGGGAGGTTTTTGATTGCTGATTCAATTACTTGACTTGTTATAGGTTTGTTCAGCTTTTTCTAATTCTATGTGAGTCAGTTTTGACAG